TGTCATTTTAGATTAGTTTTTTTGGTAGTCGTTCCTTTCTTTGAAAACTTTTCCTAAAATTTCTATAAGATGACCAAAGAGTTATACAGCACTTTTCAAACCATTATGATAGGATCATGGATGCAGTTCTTCTCCAGAAGACCTACAGCATGTTTTCTGTTCATATAAGGGGAGAAAATTTACTTGAGGGGCTTTTCTTTGTCAAAGTATGTCAGGTCAATCTAAATGCAAGACAGAAATATTGAACTTATATAATTTACCAAGCCGAGAAAAAAAAAGTCTAAAACACAATGATATGTAGTAAAGAATATGATTTTTATCATTATTGTCAGATAGAGGAAACTAGTTTCTCTGCTTATCCTAAACTTTCCAACACGACTGTCACATGCATAAAGTTTATTATTTAAAAATTGAGAAATTGTAATGCTTTGAAGAATTATATCTTGAAGGAAAAGTTCGCGTATCAAATTTTATGGACAATGTTGGACATTTCAGAATTTGGGCTTTTTTGTTTTAATTGACAACTGTGGCCTTAGGATTAAATTGTTCCCATTTTTAAAATAAAAAAGAGAGAGAGCTGGCTAGTTAGCTTGGTTGGTTAGAGCATGGTGTTATAACAACAAGGTCAAGTGTTCAGATCCCCATACTGGCCAGCTGCCCAAAAATAAATTGACTGGTTTTAGATATTTTTACATAAAATATAAAATTTATTTAAAATAAATATAGTACTTTTTCAGTAGGTAGGAAAAAACCTTTAGAGAATAATTTATTTTTAAAATTCTGGCTAAATTGCACAATTCTGCTTGTGTCACAACTTTTGGAAATGTTGACTCAATTAAAAATGGTTTTAGGAAGGATTAGAAAGAATAAGGTCAGTCTCTGCAAATACTTATCTCTAAATGAATATGACTTAGATATAACTAATAATGCAGTTAAGGGCAAAGGTAGCATTGTAAGATGTTTAAGTGATTTATACCAAAAGGCAAGCTGAAACATTTCTCCAATTTAGTAAGGGATAAGACTGTTGATGCGATGATGAGGGTTTTGCTGCTGTGGACAGGAGAGAGCAGCTGAATCACTGTGGACCGTGAAGTACTTTCCAAGTACTACCATGGATCACTTACAGGGGGATAGAAGGTCGTGACATTAAGTGCTTCTCTTCATAGCCCCATGGGAGCATCATTAACTCCATTACCGGCAAGTGGCGTGCAGAAAGAAAAAAGCACAGGAAAAGAGAGAACTGTCTTGGTTTGTGTTGCTGTAACAGAAATACCGTAGACTGAGTGGGTGGTTTAAACAACAAACATTTATTTCTCATGATTCTGGAGGCTAAAAGTCCAAGATCAAGTTGCTGGAAGATCTCATGTCTGGTGAGGGCACTCTTCCTGGCTTACAGATGGGCATCTTCTCTTTGTATCCTCTCATGAGAGCAGAGAAGGGAAGCATGCTCTTTCTTGTCTTTTCTTATAAGGACACTGTTGGGAAAATATAGGAAAATGGTCAGGGAAAGATTCTGAACATCTTACTGAGCATTTGATGTAAATAGGCGCATGCGCCCAGGTGTTCCTTGGTTATTGTCTAATGTAATTGCACATGTGCACCCAGGTGTGCTGGGTTATGACTTAAGTATAAAGGATGAGTGGCTCTGATCCATGGTGCCCCCCACCCCCAGGATACCCCCTAGAGGCCACAGGGAGGCCACTACTGCTGCTGGAGGCTGTTGCTGCCACTGCCCCTGGGACCTTCCGAGAGGCTACTGCCGGACCTGTAAGCTGCTGTTGCCGTTGCTGAGGACTGAGCTCATGTTGTCTGCCAACGACTCCAGGGATCTTTCCCAGTTACCTAGCGTGAACCTGTATGTGAGGAGTCTGGTGACCCAGTCCGTACAATGGGTTTGGAGGGTCTGAGCCCTAGCACTGACAATACAAGTGGAAACTTCGTATAACTAAAATAATAAAACATTTTGGCTTTAGTTATGAATTGTTTTTTTGTTTTTTTTTTTTTTGCGACTGGTAAGGGGATCGTAACCCTTGGCTTGGTGTCACCCGCACCGTGCTCAGCCAGTGAGCATACCGGCCATCCCTATATAGGATCCGAACCTGCAGCCTCGGCGCTCCCAGCTCCACGGCGCTCCCAGCACCGCACTGTCCCGAGTGAGCCACGGGTTCGGCCCTAGTTATGAATTGTTTTACTAGCCCCAGACATACAGTTAGTGTAGCTATGGCGCTAGCTTGACAGACATTGTCTGAAGGTGGACCAAGGGCAGAATGTCCACTAAACTTGTAAAGGTATCTTGAGACCAAAGAACAAAATAGGCTATTCCATGTGGTAAAGGAAAGAACTTACATACTGGGTGATGAGTCGGGCAGATAGTGACCCAAAGGCATATGCAAAGCTTCTCCACACCGTCTCCTGGCTGAGCTCAGGTTTATAGAAGTGGTTCGTAAACAAAAGTAATGTAACTAGCTCCAAATGTTGGTGCAGGTGGCCAGGCCAACTTATCACCTCACCAGTAGTTAAGCATTCCTTCTTTACAGTCAGCAGGTTGTTCCTATCTATTCTAACTGCCTCACCCCTAGTTACTGTATAACTTTATGGGCAAAATTCTCACAAAGACATAATAAGTGGTAAGGGCTCCAGATGGAGACAGTTATGCTCAGAGTCCTGCAGACACTAATCCCATTCTTGAGGGATCCATCCTAATGACCTAATTACCTCACAAAAGGTCCCATCTCCAAATACCATCACATTGAGGCTTATAAGGTTTTCAGTATATGAATTTGGGCATGACACAAACATTCTTCTATAATAAGGACCTAAATTCTGGACTGACTTCACATATAGTGTTATTTAGGCAATCCAGTTATCTATATGATTTTCATTTTTTTTTCAACCGTCAAATGAGGACCTTGGAATAGGTCTCTAAAGGTGTCTCAGCTCTAACAGAATCTATTTTCATAAAACAGTGACTATGAAATCATTAACACCTGATGATTTCTCACAATAAAAATTGTTTCAATGTTTGTATTTCTTTTGTAAGCTTTATTGATATATGATTTATATACCATAATAATTACCTATTTTAAACTGATATTTTGATGAATTTTAGTAAACTTATACAGCTATGCAAACATCACTAAAATTAGGGTTTGGAAATCTCCATCACACTAAAAAGTTCCCTTGTGCCAAATTGGAGTCAATTCCTACTTCTCCCCTAGTCCCAGGCTGCCAGTGATCTGCTTTCCATCTCTATTTTTTTGCCTTTTCTAGAAATTTCATATAAATGGCTTCTTCCACCTAGGATGTTTTTGAGATTCATCCATGTTGTAGCATGTATCGGTAGCTTGTTCCTTTTTATTGTTGAATAGTGCTCCTTTGTATGGATATATACTACATTTTGTTTATGCATCAACTAGTTGATGAAAAGTGGTTTCAGTTTGAGGCAAATATGAGCAATGCTGCTATGACCTTTGCATAATCTTTCTATGGACATGTTTTCTTTCCTCTTGGGTGGATAACTGGAAATGGATTGCTGGGCTGTATGGTGAGTACATGTTTATGTTTAATGTTTTTGGAAACTGCCAACTGTTTTTCAAAAATGACTCTGCCATTTTATATTCATACCATTTGTGTATAAAGGTTCCATTTTCTGCACATTCTCACCAATGCTTGTATATAGTTATATTTGTTTATATGTTTATATATATTTATATTTGCTTATTTATAATATATATTTTGAGTATGTATAATGTATAAGTGTGTTTGTCCTTACAATAATGTAACACTGTCTTGATAACTGTAGTTTAATACTAAGTTAAAAAAGGTAATATAAGTCCTTCAGCTTCCTTTACTAAAGTTATTATGGCTATTATGTGTCCTTTGCATTTTCCTGTAAATTTTAGGCTTAGCTTGTTAATTTCTTCAACAACAAAAAAAGCCCTTTAATATTTTAATAGGGATTACTTTGAATCTATACATCAATTTAGAGAGAACCGACATTTTAACAATATGAATTCTTCCAGTTCATGAACCTGGTATATCTCCTGACTTATTTAGGTCAGGCAGTGTTTTGTATTTTTCACTGTACTGATTTTGAACTTCTTTTTAAAAATTTATTCCTAAGTATTTTAATCTTTTGATGCTGTTATAGATGGAGTTTTAAGAATTTTATTTCATATTGTTGCTAGTGTGGGGAAATACAATTGATTTTTCCGTATTGATCCTGTGACTTTGCTAAGCTTCCTTACTAGTTCTGGTGGGATTTTTCATTGCTACCTTAGCATTTTCTACCTGTAAGATCAGGTATTGTTCTTGAAAATGGTATCCCTGGAAGTCCACATTACTTTGTATAGCAAGTGATCTTGCTATAGTTTAAAACATTTTTGGAATTCCTATTCAGAATTTGTTAGACAAGTTACCAAGCACATACGAAAATCAATTTAAAAAATTTCTTTTTATTCTTCCTTTTTATTATCTGTTAGACATTAAAAGATAGAAATTAGGCAGGCACTTAGATATATGCATCTCAAGTTCAAGGAAAAGGCTGTGGGTGGAAGTTTAAGTCTGAGTTGTCAGATCATATAATTAAAAGCATGGGACCTAACATGATCACTTAAAGGGATTGACTAGAAGTCCAGCAGTTCTCAGAAGAAAAATTGAGTAATTCCCAAAGAGGTTTCAGTAGTACTCCGAGGCCAAGAACCTAGGAGGGCCCTGAGGAAAGCATGTTGAGAATACTGCTATGATTGACCATCAGTTCATTTGTGAGCTACTTGCCTGCATGAAATGCTTTATGTTGATTTTTTTTTAATTTCTTATTCTCAAAGAGTACCTGTGTTTCACAGGAAATTGAATCTTTGCAAGGTCAGTGATATCTGTACTGTTTTTTCTTTTGAAGTATTTGAACGGTTATTACATTAATTTTTTTTCTCCAGGGTGATATGATTTTTAATCATTAACCATCTTAGTCATTATTTTATACTTATTTAAATACTCAGTTTGGTATATTATTCTGATTCTTGTTTTTCTGCATTGCAAAAATTATTTACTTTATGAATCACACCAAATAATCTGTTTTTCTTTTGTTCCTAGGCAAATACTGTGGTCTGGGGTTGCAAATGAACCATTCAATTGAATCAAAAAGCAATGAAATTACAGTGCTATTCATGAGTGGAATCCATGTTTCTGGACGAGGATTTTTGGCCTCATATTCGGTTGTAGATAAACAAGGTAATTTTCATCTTATACAATGGCACCCACATTTTGTAATTACTGGCAAAAAAATGAAATGGTTTTTTGAGTACCTGTTATCTGAGATTGGAATAGAGGAGGAAGACTGAACTGAGGAACATTTACCTAAATTTGACAAATTAGATCAGTTTCAGAATTCCAAAAAATAAAAGTATATTAACTTTTATACAAAATCCGTATACATCCCTTTCCTTAGTAGAGGCGATACTGATTTTTCACTTTTATAAGATTGGAACACAAACTATAATAACTTTTTTTTTTTTTTTTTGACCGGTAAGGGGATCACAACCCTTGGCTTGGTGTTGTGCGCACCAAGCTCAGCCAGTGAGTGCACCGGCCATCCCTATATAGGATCTGAACCCGCGGCGTCAGTACTACCAGCACCGCACTGTCCCGAGTGAGCCACGGGGCCGGCCCTATAATAACATTTTTAAAACTTATGGATTATTGAAATGTATCATATCAATTTAAAACTTTATTCTCCACAGTTTACCATTTCATAGTTCTTTGTTAAAGACCATATTAACATTCCTCTCAAAGAATAGGGCCTCATACCACCAGGAGTACCCTAGGTTGTGCTGAGACAGTACAAAATAAACATGAGATGTTTTCTAAATTGCTAATATTTAGGATCTGAAGGGGGAAAAATTAAAAGCAAGGCTATTAAGTAGAATAAAATCTGAAATTTATCTGAATGTCTAAGATAAAATGCGGTATACCTGTGTGAGATCTCTCATGTGTTTTGGCTGCTGTGGCATGTATTTATTGCCCTCTGCTATTAGGGATGTTGTGATGAGAAAGTTTAAGTGTTGCTAGTACAAGAAGATATCAAAACAGTCATTTAACTTAGAAAATATGTGATTATTTTGATATTTAAGAATGAATTAACTAAGATGACTATTTAAAATTAAGAATTAGCTTTTACTTCATATTGTATACATGAGAAAATTTTCAAAAACCTCCTGTGTGTGAGAATGTTGGGCACTGGGAATGACCGAGGGCAAAGCAAGCTTTTCCTCTGCAGCTATGGTAGGTTCGAAATAAACACTGTGTGTCTCATTAAAAGTTTCATTTAGAACACGATAGAGGGGAGGGCTGTTCTGTGTGAAGAGGAGTCTTCTTTCCCTTAGTTTATAAGCTATGGAACAAGGTGTGAAGGTTAATAAAATCTCTTAGAGTGAATGAAAAAGAAAACTCATTTGGATGGAATAATGGAAAGCAAAGACCTGGAAACTGGAAACATTATACTTGAACAATTAATATTTCTGACAGAGCCAAGAAGACTAAGGCAATGTGATGTTGTGGAAGCAGCACTAGATAGCCCTGGAATCAAAGCCTGTGTCTGCCATGTGGTAGCCAGTGACCTCTGGGCACAGCATAGTGGGCACCCAATGTTAGTTCTCCCCTTCCAGCACTGTACACACACATATGTGCATGAAGTGTGTACCCCCACCATCAAAAGGGTAATGTAGAGAACACAGAGTGAGATGATAATGGATTACCGTACTTTCAGTTTTGCTTCTTGAAAGTCTTGGGTTGACAGATGAGAGGATAGAAAATAAACACAATTTGCTTTTTTCTTCTTCTTAAGCTTCTTGGTCTTAATATCAGGTTAAATTATTTATTTTGATTTGTCTTTATTTTGATTCATATTTCCTCTTTCTCTCTTTGTTATTTATTGAGCGGAAGGTTTCTATAAAGTAAGTGTTCTCTCTTTTTAAATAGCGGGTTTTTATATTAGATATTTAAATAAATAAACCTCAATGTCCTGCATTAAAATCACTTAAAAATTGACAGTGATCTCAGATAACAGAATCAGTATGTTTTAGACTTATAAACCTCTGTACCAAATTTCAAGTGGCTATGTCACTATTTCAGATGAATCTTGTCTTCCAGAAGTTTTTGAAATATCCACTTTAATCGGGAACTTCTTGATAGTAACCTTTCAAAAGTTATAATCATCTTGGAAATCATCATTTCAGGGCTGTCTCCTGAAGTCTTACTTGATTTTTATTTTTCATGTATTTGGGAATGAAAAGATTGTGAAAAATCCTGCTTCAACAGCTGCTTTATTTGTTACACTCTCATAAAGATTTGTTAATGATATAGTATGTTTTGTTGATAGAATCATGATTTTGTGTGAAATAGGCTAATTTTCAGTACCTTGTGTAAGAGTTCATTCCAAAACTATATTCCCTTCAATGCCTTATTTCCTGCTCTATGCTTATTAGCACTGGGAAACAGCAGTAGGCAAGACAGACACAGTTGCACCTTCATGGGGCTTATAGTACAGGGCTGGGAAAAGACATTAAACAAATGATTACTTAATTGCAGTTATGATAAGTATGATGAAGGAATAGTGCAGATTATAGGAAACCAGAGGGGCACAGGGAGTGGAAGACTGATAAAGAGCAGAGCTTTCCTGAGGAAGTCACTTTTAGGCTGAGAGCTGAAGGATTAATTGGAGGTTCCAGGCAGACAAGGAAGGAAGAACATTCTGTGGAAGAGAACAGCAGATGCAAAGGACTTAGGTGGAAAGGAGCTTTGGGGGAACTGAGAAAAAAGCCAGTGTAGCTGGAGTGGAGTGAGTGGGTCATAAGTAGGTCTCATTATTCAGAGCCTTACAGAAAATGTAGTGGTTGGAACTTTTCCCTAAGAGTGCATGGAAGCTGTTAGTACAAAGTAGGGATATGACTATATTTGTTTTTGTTTGCTTTTACGATCCTCCCTGCTCTGCAAAGAGTGGGTTAAAGAGAAGTAAGAATAAATGTAAGGGAAACCAGAGGCTAAGAGGCTGTTAGAGGAGACCAGATCAGAGATGATTGAATTAAGATGTCCCATTATAAATTCAACTCTGGAATTATGCCAGTTTTTAAAGCCTTCGAATCAGACATATCTAACAGAAGGAAACATTTCAAAGAATTAGGATTCATCCTGCCAGGGTTTAAGTTGCAGTAAGAGGCTTTGAACATAAGGAAGCCCTCTTGGATGAAGTACTGATCTATTGTAATGCCCAATACCTAACAGGTATTGTATCTAGTGTACAGTACCTGGTGTTTTTGTTTGTTTGTTTGTTTGTTTGTTTTCTTCCACTTTTGTTTCTAGTTTTTTAAAACTTTCTATAAAACTTTATGGTCTTTTCTTCTCTTTATTTTAATGATCTTTGAGCAGTAGTTTCCAGCCTTTTCTTTATGAGCTATCTCTTTTCATTTTCACCTGTAAACCTCATTTTTGAAAGTGTGTGAAAGGAAAAGTTCCCATTCACCCATGGGGTAGCAAGCAAAGGTACATATACGTATACATCAACACTTCCAGCAATTATGAGAGGACGTGTATTTCTACTCCAAGTTGGTATAATCCTATCAAATTCCAACTAGACTTTCCTAAAAATTGAAGATGTGTATGAACCTTTGAGATATCCTGGACATTTATATTAGCAACCACTGTTTAGAAGTTTACACTGTAGAGAGAAACTCCTAAGTTACTGCTGGTCTTAACTGAGAGAGGCAGAACCAGCCACTCAGAGGTCCAAAATTCAGTAACTCAGATCTTTTTATCTAGTATAATAATAAATTCTTTGACATTTTCATTCTAAAAAGTAAATTTAAAAACATAGCATTTACCATTAGACTTGAAAAATAAAATAAATTTTATAGATGCATTGTCTAAATTCCTGTTCTTGAATCTCTGTGCAACAATGACCAGTTTCTAGGAAGAACTCAGAATTTCTAGGATGATTCTAGGTGATGATTTTTTTAAGTTATTTTAATTATAGAACAGTGAACTCAGAAGACATATCTACATTTACATTGAAAGCTTCAAGTCCCGCAAGGCAGCATTTATTTGGATGTGCCATAATTGTGTGTGTGTGTGTGTGTGTGTGTACGTACGTACGTATGTATGTGTACATGCATTATTAGAAAGTGATAATCCTGGCATTGTTTTTGTGGTACATGAAATCATCACTTAAAGAGTAATATTAAACCTCATTACTTTATATTTTACCATCCAGAATTTCGTAGTGGTTAGTCTGAAGTTTGCCTTTATTTTAGCAGGGGAAAATAGTAAAAAGTTTAAAATTTCATGAAATAAAGTGATCCGATGTAGGTATTAATGTACTTCCTAATTGAAACTCATAATCACTGTTCATTTGCTGCCTGCCACCCCTTACAGTCTGATGGTGATGTGCCTAAGCCGTGTAAACAGCTGAACTTAGAAAATGTTCCCATTTGACAAGGTTATTGTTGCTATATGATAGGTTATTTTTAGAATTAACACCACTAGTATAAAAATTTTCTGATTGCTACGTTCTTTAACCATACTTTTTTGCAAATATTTTCTGTTTCTTTCACCGTATGTCAGATTACATCAATTTGTAAATGAAACATAGGGCATAGTAGAGAATTCCTTTCTAAGAGAGTCCAAATTTCTGTAACTGGTTATTTTTTTTTCTTTATGGGATATTTTTGACTTTGAAAATAGAGTATAAATTCCTTAGATTGTTTGTTGCCTTAATTGCTTGCCTGTACAGTAATTTTATAGAATCTGTTTTGTTTCTAGCACCATACTTAGCTAAGATTTTATTTGTAGCTTTTATATTGTGTTCCAAATTTCTGTTATTGTTGTATCTGGCAAATATTTAAAAAATACTAAACTATCAAATTAATCTTAGTAAGATTTTATTCATAAAGTTTCAATTTACATTTACATCTTTATATGTGTCCTTATTTATACACAAGTGAATATGTATACTGTTCATGTGTATAATATAATTAACATACAGAAAAATATGTTTATTTTGGTATCAATTTGTAGAATGAAGATGCTGATGAGCAAAGTGTTACCAATTTTGTAGAGAAAGAGAATTTAAAACAGAATTTGTTAAAATGGTATTAACTGAAAGAGGCAATTTAACTTATAGGATAGAGTTTATTCCAAGCTGACATATAAACAATCTGAGGAGCACTTAATTATTTTAG